AACCAAAATACTTTGGTAGATCTTAAATGGATAAATAAAATAAATACCAAGGACAACTAAATGAGAAGGCAGACTAGCAATAGCCAAAATCAATAAAAGACAATAGTAATCCTTAAAATTAGATTTCCATCATTAAGTTATTCATGACAGAGTCAAAAACTCATGCTCATCTCTGGCTGTAAACTTAGCAGTGTTGCTGGACCAAAACTTTAATCAAAACTTGTGTTCCTTTGCAATTACGCGACAAGAAGTCAGTTAAAGTGCACGTGCCTCGAACTTCCCCTTGGCCCCCTGCCAAATTCACCTCTAATTAAGCGATGCGAAGCGTTTTAAGCTGGCACGCGGGATGGCAGATGCAATGCATCATTAATGCAAACTCACTCACACAGTGCCGCTGCCACGCCCGCTCGCCCACACATACATACACTGAAATATGGCAAAACAATTTAATCAAGGACTTAACTTTAAGTGCAGTTTACTTTTCTTACTATTTCCCAGTACTAAATTAGCAATTTTCCTAGTATTTCAGATTTCAATGGCCTAATAATTGTCTAATCAAACAATAATTCAAAGAAATATGTCTTAACGAAAACTGGAATTAAACTTAAGAGGAAAACTCAATTAACTCAGCTCTTCAAACCAGCTGCACATAAGAGTAAGTACTGAAAGTTTTGTTTTTTAAATAAATTGTTCTTAGATATATATAAAGTCTTAAGAGATACAATAGAATCTAATCCCGACGTTTAAAAATCGGGTTAAATATATTTAAAAGTTTTTCATTTTTAATCGAAGTAAATAAAATAATTTTAAGTTCGTTTTTGTACTGCATAAATATTTCTGAAAAAGTAGATATCTTCCTAATGTTTAGATTAAATCTTACAAAGGGGTATATATTTTTTTTAATTTTTTAATTTTAATTTTGTAGCAGTGCACTCAGAAAATTGCTGGCGAAATATGCGTGTCCTCAACGCCACGAATGGGCTATGAAATGGGGAAAACAGGAAAGAGATTTTTGAGGGAACGGGTTGGAGTTGGGGAAAATGGGGAAAAATATTCCAGCTAATAGCTCCTTTTATGCTCCACTTGAATTCCCCTTTTCCGTCGGTTCCGCTTCTCGGCGGTTCAATGTTTTGCCACGTAGACGGCATAACATTTTTCGGCCGTGATTATTACGAAGTGCAGGAGAAGGCAAAGCGATGAGGTCGTTGTAATTTCATTAAAATTTTATTAGCTCGATATATGTATGAAGCTCAGGTTTGCTGCTTGTGAGTCTCGTGTTTTGATTTGGGCAAATGAAATTATCACCTATGCGAGCTATGAACATAAAAGGAACAACAACAGAGCGGCGAACAGAGCTTTTACTTTTAAGTACCAAGCATTTGGGGTGTAGAAAAATGGGGAAAAGAAGACCTAGAAAGACCTCAAAGTTGCAGCTTTATTCAAGCGAATGTGAGTCATTCCTTTTCCCCCCGATTTTCACCATTTTCCTTTTTCCTCTGGCCGAATGGCTTTTAATTTCCATTTTGCTATTAATTTCAACCTCAAAGGTTGCAAAGGCGAATGGTGGATGGTGGATGATGGGCAGTTGAAAGGTTGAGGAGTAGAGCATATCACTGCCACACAACAAAGCCGCAAAGCCTTGCCTCGGCTTTGGTTAATCCGAACACTCGCACATACGCACACATCCAGATAGATCCGGGCACTAATACTAGCACAGCGAGAAAAAGTGTTTTCATTGGATGAGTAAATATAGAAAAATTCAAAACTCCAAATATAACTAATAATTTTCTCTATATATTAGTTCTATAAATCTTTCTCTACATAATAGTTCTATAAATCATCGTTAAGTAAGAAAAATCCATTGAATTTACATCACCTCAAAAAAGCCAGTTTGTAAACATTCTCTTTGAAATGAACCCTTTTTGTCAAGAATTTGATGAAAATGTATTTAATGAAATGATTTTCAACATTCAATTAATAGGCTTTTCATTGAAATGTTTCATTTTAGCATTGCCGTTTATTACAAATTATTTTTATGCCCAGATTTTGTTTTGTGTGCGTGTGCCGCCTTTATGTTTTCTTGATTGAGTTTCACCTTTTGCATATGAAATTCAATTTAATCAGTTTGCCAGGCATACTGCCATCCTGGCAACCACACGCAGACACGAAACGAAGCCAATAATAATGAAGTCCTTTTGTTGTTCGACATTTTCAACGAGAGATGTCTACAACGAGGGCAAATTTGCTTTGGGTACGCAACAATTTTCATTCACGGAGCCGAGCCGAGCCGAGTGGCCAACCTCAATAATGTTTTCACTTGGAAATCAATAAATACAAATAACATATATTTGCCGAGACTGAGGGCCAACCAGAGCCATCTCCTGACGGCCATAAACTGGCAAATTGTATGCAAATAAAAGCAGAATCGAAACGCAGTGCCGCAAGACAGGCCAAGTAGCACCCCCAAAGTGGAAAGCGGAAGTGGAAAACCAACAAACAGTTGAAGCGATAGAAATGCTGACGCTGCAGCCGCTGAATCTGAGTCCCCAGCTTCATAAAACAACGAAAAGAGTACAATGAATTCTGTGGGAGGGATTTGACCAGGGAAATACAAGGAAAAACTTCCTCGACGACAACTTTTTATTAACTCTTTGTCTTGTTGGCTCTTTGGTTGTGTCCTCTCCCCGACTTTCACCCTGGCCTTCCCATTGTCCTCCGGCGCCAATTGGCAAAAACCCAAGACGCAGACACAAAAAGGATTTAAAGAGCGGGTACAACAACTTGTTGTCGGTCGTTTCTCAAACCAGATGCAAATCCAACGGCCCACAGAGAATCCTTAAAAAAAAGGGGTAAGCCAACTAAATGATGAACCCTTTGCGCCACAAAGTCAGGCTGTTTCTCCTTTGGCTTACCAAATATTTTTCATTGTTAATGTGATTAAAGGCATTTACTTTTTTATGGTTTCATGCAAATTTCTACAAATTATTTGGAATTACAATGTTTAGAGTAAATCAAAATCTATTGTTTGTTATTGTAATTTATTAATTTGGAAACTTTACAAAAATTAAAGTTTCTATTTAACAAAAAAATTTTAAATCTAAGTTAAGCTGAAAATGTTCTGATTAAATTATATTCTTACCACAGTGTGCGATACAATAAAGCCAGACTGCTAAATCACTTTTGTTTAATGTATTCAATGTACACAAAATAGGGGTCTGACTTCTTATTGTAATTTAATCAATTTCATTCCAATATTATATTTCTTATATATTTTCAATGTATTCAATGCTCACAAGATAGTTATCTGACTTATTGAAATTACCCATGAAGAAGTCCATTTTGCTGCAATATTCTCTTTCTAATATAAAACACCAATTATAGCACAGGAAACATAAAATATTTCTTACAAATTTATGATATTCAGAGACAGCTGGATTAATATGCCTAAAACACTCACAAATATCACCATAAAACACATATATTTAAGACTTCTTTACAAACTTAAGACTGGAAGATGTCTTCCATGGTATTTTTAGGGCATAGCATATTCGATATCTACAAAAAGATATTGTTTTCTTCATTTGGCAACTGCTTGTTGACATCGCCGGACAATAAGGACAAAGTGCAGAGCTGCGGTAACTGGGTCCAAACAATTGTATTGATTTAGGCCAAGTCCGGCCATCTGACATATGTTACACATGCCGCAAGCGCGGTCATGTCTTAGTGGCCCAGGGAAATTGTATTTTGGGGCCTTGTGGACCGACATTCAAGCCCTGCTAAGAGGCTTCGGCTTCGGCTTTTATATATACCAGAGTGATGGGAGCTGCACAGTCTGTCTGCCTGAGTTTAATCGCATTTAGCTTATTTAGCGGCAAATTGAATTTGCCAACGTCACGACGCTCACTCAATGAAAACCCCTGAATAGGCGCCCCCCTCGAAAATGAGAAATTCAATTAAAATCATATTTTTACAACAGCACCCGCTACCCGGATATCTTTAAACGGATTTTCAGTTGCTATTTTAGTCGCTTGAACTTGGCAAACACACCAAATCGAAGCGGGGATAAATAGGCAAAAATAATTGAGCGACTGCTGGTGCCATCGTGGCATCATTCCATCAATTCCCAATCTCCCTGACGCCATCGTAATCCCAGTTTCACCCCACCCTTTTGAGCAAAAAGACGACGACACGGGATAATCGCCTCAGTTTCCTTTGCGGCCCACAAAATTTTGATGCGTGGCAACATTTTTTTGCGCTTGGCTTCAGTTTCACACAGGCCACTCGGTTCGTGATTAGCTTTGTTCATGGCTGGACTTGTCATGGTAGTAAGAGGGGGCAAATAGGGAGGTGCTGCGATGGAGAAAAGCAAAGGCTTTGGTTCACTGGCGCGGGCGATAATTAGGAATCAAAATCCTAGTCCCGAAGATGATTTATGATGCCAGCGCTGCTGGAGTTCATAGCCCGCTAATTTATTGCATTTTCGCAGTAGGGATCAACGCTTTTCCACTCCGCTCCATCGCCCACAAACTCTCGAATGTTCTCTTACTTAAACTGTAACTAACTTGACTCCCATTTGTCTTAATAAATTGAACTTCCAATAAGCGACCCAATATATGAATATTATAGTTTGCAAAATGAAAAACTTTCTCATACGCAAATAGTCATTAAGCAAACACAGAAGTTGTTAAGCTAAAAAAACACAAATAGTAAAACAAAACAGAACCAAAAGTAAACAGTTTAAGAGCGAACAGAATCCAGCTGCTTTAAAATCGCAAAGAAGGTAAATGAATGAGTCAATGCACGACACTTTTCAAGACCAAGACCACGAGTATTAAAGAATTTTTGATATAGTTTGTTTTTTTTTTTCAATTACTCCAAACAGTTGTTGTCTGTGACGTAACTGGTTAGCAGCTGTCTTTGAGGGGATTTCCCTGGGAAAAATGGAAAATGTAAAGAATATAAAAGGCCTTGGGCAAATGGAAAAAGGTATCACTACTTGAGTTTATACCAAGCAAAGCAAAGCAAACTAAAGAGAAAATGCGTTCCTACATTTTTATTGCCCTTTTCGCTCTGATTGTTGTGGTTGCCGCTCAAGGTGGACCTCAAGGTGGACCTCAAGATGGACTTCAAGATGGACACCAAGCTGGAACTCAAGCTGGCCAGGGGGGACCAAAGAACGGTGAGCAGGGCGGTCAGCAAGGACCCCAGCAAGGAGGTCCTCAGGATGGACAACAGAGTGTTCCTCAAAATGGCCAGGAGGGTGGACCATGGCACTTGCCTGCGAATGGAACAGTCCTCTCCAACAGCACCACATCTACAACCACTGAGGCGAGCACCACAGAGACCAGCACCACTGAGGCCACTTAGGATGTAGCTGGATTCTATTCTTAAAAGTTTTTTAGTTTACTTATGTTCCTTATCTTATTATTAATAAAATTAAAAATTCTAAATATTAATAAAGTTGTTTTTAATTTTGTATGAAGTTTTTTTTGCTATTTAACCATACCAATTATGTTCTTTTTCAAAATTTCAAATTTACTTAAAAACCTGTTTTTTGCGACCTAAATGAATTACGATTCTATGAATTTAATTAAAATGTTTCTTATTTTTAGCTAGTCCCATAATTACGCATCTGCTCGTCCCGCTTAAAATGCTTTGTATAATTCTCAAACAGCAATTTACGCTAAAAAGTATGCAACACTTTTGTGCTGCTGCTCGAAATCACTTAAAAGCAAATCCCCGGAATGCTTCTCACTTCCACCTTCTCCCCCGAGAGTCTCCACAAATTGCTACTGAAACAGTTCCCAGTTCTCTGCTCCGAAATCTGCGACAAACATCAGTTGAAAATGGCAAAAATGGAAGACTGGGAAGAAGGGAAAAACGCATATGCGGTGGCTCATGAAATGCAGTACAAAGTCGTTCTCATCCACTCGCTGCTCAGCGAAGCGGCCACTTCTCAGTGCACTGAAGTGTTTGGCCGCAGAGGGGAGTGGGTGGGTCGGTGGGTTGGTGGCCGAAGGTCGTCAGCTGAGGACCGGCGATCAATTGATTTGCATTCCCCACTCTGCGGAAAGCGAACAGTGCAGTGCAGTGCAAAGGCGCTTTAAATCAGCCCTCCATTAACTGGACACTGCAGAAATGTTTAACTCCAGTAAGCTTCATAAGCGCTTAACCCTGTACTGGCAGGAGGTTTCAGAAAAAACTTATATGTTTTTTTATACAAAATCAAACATGTTAAAATTACTAGGGCTTACGCCACAAAAAAAAAAAAAAAAAAAACAGATTTACGGAGTTCCATTACCCACAGAAAAATGGTGTTACTTGTTTTTTATTCTAAAAACATTGTTTTGGTGTTTTTTTTAATTGGAAAGACCAAAATGTTCAGCTTTTTGAAATAACCTTAAATACACCTATATTTCGCTTTATGGACTTACATAAAAATACGTAATTCAATTGATTCTCAAAGCAATGCTGGCCAGGCTAGCATTGATTTATTGATTTGATTCAGTGATCTGTTGGGGCCACAGGTGGGTTAAGCCAGCTGCCACATGTAAGTGGGGCATTTGTGGAATCCGAGGAACTGAGGCGAGTGTAGCAGGCAAAACAGCTCGCTGGGGAACAGTAAATCACGCCGAGCGCAGAGCGCAAATTGGTTAGTGAAACACATGAACCATTCATAAGGGGGAAAAAGGGGGCAAAGGGAGGATCGGGGGACTCACACACACACACACACACACACACACACACATGAGCTGGCAGTCGACTAAAATCGCGCTTTTGAAAAATGAAGGCAGCTGCAAACCTGCAGGAGCACACGCAGAAATACCAAAGTAGCAAATGTAATCTGCAAGGAGCCAAAGAGGTGGGTTCGAGCGGAAGGGGCAGGGAAATCATATTATCCTTAGGTGGAATTAGTTGCCCCTTTCCAAAACAGAGAGAGAAAATATTATATTGTTATTCAAACCAGTAATAACATAATAGAGTTACCAAAACTGTAAAGCTGTTTCCAAATCTAGTTAAACGAACGTAATTAGAAAATTATTTATTAAGTTTTATTGCACATGTAAATATAATAAATATCTTAACTGTAAATCACAAAATTAGTTGTTTCCAAACAGACAGAAAAAAAATAATACCCATTTATATTTAATATAGTAATTAAATAAAAATCAAAAAAATTGTTATTGAAACCACTGCAATGGTTACTCACATCTTTAAACTTCTCCAAATTTTATTTTAATTTTGAAAACAAACTAATCACTTCTATGCCATATGTACTATTGTAATTAAATTTATTTTTTTTTTCTCTCACATTCACATTAAACTTTTCAGAAACATAAAACTTGATATGGCGAACTTATAAGTCCCACTAGATTATTTTTTGTGTGCATTTGCGAACGCAGCAGGAAGTTCTATCCAACTTAACTCAACTTGAGTCAAGTCATCTCTCTGCTTTACGTCGCTCCAGCTTCCAGCTTGCCTTCATACATTTTAGTTGCACAAATTGAAAGGAAAACACATCCTGGCTTCCTGCAGAAGTAGAGGCAGCACCAGCATCACCACTACCACCACCACCAACAAAAGCGGAAAAATCAGGATGAGCAGCAGCCGCGCTCAAATGCAGCAAATGAAATTTCCCAAGGCCGAAGCGATCGAAGTGAAATTGAAAAAATAATCATAAATATTGCATGCAGCTTGGTTGGGCTTGGGCTCTCTTTGCCATCTATTTTTTAGCCGCTTTCATTTTTTTTTCTTATTTTTTTTTTGCCGATTAAGCGTTGCAAAGTATATGCAGGCAGCACCGGTTAAGTATACGGCGCGTGGGCTTTATAAAGTTTAGCCCGAAATGCGCACAAGCCGCTTCATGTCATCCATGGCTCAGTTCCGGCTGGAAATGAGATGGGTTGGGGTTGGCTTTTAGCTTGCCAAAGGCACAGGCATCCCTGCCATATTTACACGGCACCCACTTCTATGGCAATGCCACCGCGGGCAAGGAATATGCTAAAATGCTTCGTGTGAAAATAATTTCTGGGCGGAAAACAAGGTTAGAGGGCTAATGGCAAGCTTTACGAGAGCCAAATTCTCTGGTACTTTGAATACATTTTAGTCTGCTGACGAAAAATAATTCACAAGCAACTAAGGAGATATGATTATAGTTTCAATATTAATGTTTTGTAATAGACAATTTTAAAGGGGTATTTAATGTACATAGTTTACTCAAAATAACAAATAACAAACTAAATAACCAAATAATTGTAAAACCTGCGTTTATTTAAGAACAATAAAAATTGTTCCCACAACTTTGTTATTGCTTCCAGCTCAAGTAAAAATAGTAAGTTAAACAATCAAATATTTTACACAAGGAACTGAAATCAAATCATAAGTAGCTGCCAAATGACGCACAGAAGGTAAATTAGTCAATGGTAAACAGTAAACATTACTTTGTGTCTGGTTTTCGGTTTTACCAAATTACCACAGCAGACGTTTGTTTGATTTGTGTGACGGTGCCTGAGCAACAGCTGTTTTAGAAAGAATTTCTTTGGTCTCAATGGAAAATTTTGAAAATATAAAAGAGCTCGTGCTTCGGGAAAAAGGTATTACAACCTGAGTTTCCACGAAGGCAAAACTACAAAACAGAAAAAAAATGCGTTCCTTCACTCTGATTGCCCTTTTCGCTATTATTGCTGTGGCTACCGCTCAAGGACCTCAAGATGGACCTAAAGCTGGCCAGGATGGACCTCAGAACGGTGAGCAGGGCGGTCAGCAAGGATCCCAGCAAAGTGGTTCCCAGGAAGGACAACTGGGTGGTCCTCAAAATGGCCAGCAGGGTGAACCATGGCACTTGTCTGCGAATGAATCAGTCATCTCCAACATCACCACATCCATAACCCCCGAGGCCAGCACCACAGAGGCCAGCACCACTGAGGCCAGCACCACTGAGGTTTCCTCATCTTAGGACGTAGCTGGATTCTATTCCTTAAACTATTTTAGTTTTGCATTTTTTCCTTATCCTTGATATTATTACAAATTATAAAAACAATGGATAATGTTTTGTTGTGTCTACTGGTATAAATAAAAAAATCTTTTTTATAAAAAATGCAAAGTATCTTTTGAAAAAGTAAAATAAGAAATTTCGAATATATAACAGTTTTTTTTCCTAAGCAGTAAAGAATAGATTGCTATTTTGTTGAGCAAATTGTGTTACAAAATTTTCATTTTAGAGATCCTCCAAAACATTTGGCTAAGCAATATACCCACCAACACAAAAGAAAATAAATACATTTAGACGAGTAAAAGGTGTTACATGCGACGAACACGGAGAGCCGCTTAAAGCGCTCGGGGTTGTTTCAGCATTTAACGGAAAAAGTTTTTCCATTTAGCGCTCAGCCTCCGCCTTGGTTTTTTTTTCCATCCACAGAGCTCGACTCTTTAACATGGTGAAAATTAAAAGTTAAATGCGCAAAGTCAATAAAAGCCGGCGATGGCTATGGCGATGGCGATACTAACAAATGGAAGCGAGAACGCGGCAGTTGGGAAATCCTTTAATGCCATCGCATTTGCATGGCAATATAGACTTTGGGGGAAGTGAAAATGGAGGGTTGTGGTGTGGATGATACATTCAAGGACAATAGCTCGCCTCCTTGTGTCTTTTGTGCGCCACTTGCGACTGTTTGCCCAGAGATAAAAACTCGGTTTGGGGCTTGAGCACAGCGCCAACTAATAAAATGCACTTGCAGTAGTAGTCAGGATTCGGCTAGGTCCTTGCAATGGTTTGCGTTTTGTCTTTGCCGGCTGAGTGGCTGCGTTTGCTTTGCTAATTGATGCACTAGGCGCTTGTGTACTTTACAATTACCAGGCACCGAAAAACGGGTCGGAGCTTAGAGATATTTAGATTGAAGAGTCCCCTAGCAGATGTACATATATTTTTACACATAAAACTGATAGTCATCTGATTGAGCCATCAATTCCCGAAGACAAAAGCGTGACCGGAATAACTGGAACAGTTTTGCTTTCCCCATTTTTCCAGCACCCTCTTTAACTGCAGTTGCTGGCTGTTGGGGCGGTGAACAAAATCAATTGTGGAAAAATATGCAAAGCGTTTTTAATTAAAATTTTGAAGATCTTGGTTGGACGGAACCCTCACAGCTAAGCTCGGCAAATTATAGAGAGAGAGCAAACGCATTGGGCCGTGGATTATGGCCAGAGGCGAAAAATGGGCAAAAATCGAGGGCGTGGGTGAGGGTGAGGGCATTCCACAGTTGTTCAGATTTTTAATTGCAATTGCAGCGCGCTCATTAAAGCGATAATAATTCAATGCAAATGAAATCTGCAATTTTAATTTGCCCGACTAAGTGGGAAAAGGCGAAAGGGTTCCGCCCACAACAAAACGAAATTAGTTTGCTACATTTTCCGTTGACGCACATTGAACAATCACTTTCCCTTTAATATAACATATGAATATAATGATATAGGAGAAGAAGATATTGTTCAGTGTTCAATGTGGCCAGAGCAAACATTTTGCCATTGCTTTTAGCACTAATTAGTCAATTAATGTCCAATTTACTATTTCGATGATGCTCTGATGTAACTACTGCAACTGTAACCCAACAACGGACAACGGACATCGGACATCGACATATGTATTCTGCTGGTCTCGGCCGGACACACAGTGTGTATGATTAATGCTTAATTGCATTAGCCAGAGTGCAAACGTCGACTACACAGCTCGAAAATAAATGAAATTCAAACTTTTTAGCGGCTTAAATTCAAGTGCTAAATTATATATAAATTGAACTGAGTTCAGGCTATTTCTTAGAATTAAATCTTAATAAAAACAATTTATATTTAAATTTTCTTATATAATTAATAAAGTATTTGTTTGTTACTTTGTTTAATTGAAATACAATTTATTAGAACTACATTTTATTGACTTTTTGAAGTGCATAAAGAACGCATTAGACCTTGGCATTTTCAATGACCCAGGCAAATTAAATGGACATTTGTTTATTGGTCCTGCATTTTGGAGAAACCATGCAAACTCATAAATTGCATCCGCTGCTGAACAAACTGATGAATTACCCGCAAAACCCAATAGAATCGAATCACAGAAGGCGACAACTCCATTAGCTATAAAAACCACCCGTGCCAGACACATTCTGTGCTGATAAATAGTGAAATGGAAGTGGACAAACACAACAGAACGGAGACGGCAGTATTGAAAGCGAATCAAGAGCAGCTGCTCTGTGACGCCAGGGGAAAAACAGATGGATAAATGGCTAGCATTTTGGAGCAGCTCAAAGACTCTTTGTCTGGCTTCGGTTTTACCAAATTACACTTGACGTTTATTTGATCGCTAGGCGACGTCACTGAAAAGCAGCTGTTTATTCATTCAGTTGAATGGGGGAAAGTATAAAAGGCGTGTTAGCATCGAGAATAGGTATCACAGTTAAGTAATACTGAAAGACATAAACACCGAACACCATGCGTTCCTTCCTAATCATTGCCTTGTTCGCACTGCTGGTCGTGGCTGCTGCTCAAGGTGGACGTCGTGGCCGCGGAGGTCCTCAGGGTGGACCTCGGGGTGGACCTCAGGGTGGACCACAAGGCGGCCCACAGGGTGGCCCACAAGGAGGACCTGGTGGACTTGGAGGACCTGGTGGACCTGGTGGACCTGGAGGACCTGGTGGACCAGGTGGTCCAGGTGGACCTGGTGGACCAGGTGGACCTGGGGGACCTTGGGGACTACCTCCCAATGCCACCCTCCCCTGCAACAGCACCACAACGACAACAGAAGACAGCACATCGACCTCAACCACCGAAGCCAGCACCACCGTGGATGCCGCTTAATAAGGGAGCTCGCATTCAATTTCAAATCCATTTTTGGCTTGTTCTCCTCTGCGCTTCCCTTGATATTAATAAAAGCATTTCTTGCAAGAATTAAATTTTTCGGAAATTAAGAAATGGGCTATATTAACAAAATAACAACTCAAATTTCAAACCAAGATTTATTTTCAGATTTTTAGAGCAAAGAACAGTTATGGACTTAAAGCTGAAAGTTTTTTGTCACTTTTCTGCAGGGTTTTGGTCATTTTAATGCAAACACGATTTTTTTTGGAAATTTAGAAAGGGGTAACATCATAAAAATGGCAAAAAATCCACCAGAAATTACAAACCAAGTTTTAAACGCAGTTTTTTAGAGAACTAAGCATCGAGACATTAAAGATACACCACTTCGAAATCGGATGCTTAAAAGAAAAGTTATAGAATTAAAACTGCAGGTTTTTTGTCACTTATCTGCAAAGCTATTTTATCGGAAATTAATGGATTTATATCTGTAAAAAAAACAACTCACAATATTAAAACAAACTTTAAGCGCAGATTTTTAGAGGCTCAACCCACAAGACTTTAAAGATATACCGCTTGAAAATCGGATGGCGGAATGAAAAGTTATGGAATTAGAGGTGCAGGGTTTTGATCAGTTTTCTGCAAACACGGTTTTTTTGGAAATTAAGAAAGGGGTAACATCATTAAAAATTGCAGAAAATCGACCAGAAATTACAAACCAAGTTTTAAAAGCAGTTACTTAGAAAACTAAGCCTCGAGACATTTAAGATATACCACTTCGAAATCGGATGCTTAAAAGAAAAGTTATGGAATTAAAACTGCAGGTTTTTTGTCACTTTTCTGCAAAGCTATTTTATCGGAAATGAATGGATTTATATCTGTAAAAAAAACAACTCACAATATTAAAACAAACTTTAAACGCAGATTTTTAGAGGCTCAACCCACAAGACTTTAAAGATATACAGCTTGAAAATCGGATGCCGGAATGAAAAGTTATGGAATTAGAGGTGCAGGGTTTAGGTAATTTTTCTGTAATCACGATTTTTTTGGAAATTTAGAAAGGGGTAACATCATTAAAAATTGCAGAAAATCGACCAGAAATTACAAACCAAGTTTTAAAAGCAGTTACTTAGAAAACTAAGCCTCGAGACATTTAAGATATACCACTTCGAAATCGGATGCTTAAAAGAAAAGTTATGGAATTAAAACTGCAGGTTTTTTGTCACTTTTCTGCAAAGCTATTTTATCGGAAATTAATGGATTTATATCTGTAAAAAAAACAACTCACAATATTAAAACATACTTTAAGCGCAGATTTTTAGAGGCTCAACCCACAAGACTTTAAAGATATACCGCTTGAAAATCGGATGCCGGAATGAAAAGTTATGGAATTAGAGGTGCAGGGTTTTGATTATTTTTCTGCAAACACGATTTTTTGGAAATTTAGAAAGGGGTAACATCATTAAAAATTGCAGAAAATCGACCAGAAATTACAAACCAAGTTTTAAACGCAGTTTTTTAGAGAACTAAGCATCGAGACATTAAAGATACACCACTTCGAAATCGGATGCTTAAAAGAAAAGTTATAGAATTAAAACTGCAGGTTTTTTGTCACTTATCTGCAAAGCTATTTTATCGGAAACTAATGCATTTATATCTGTAAAAAAAACAACTCACAATATTAAAACATACTTTAAGCGCAGATTTTTAGAGGCTCAACCCACAAGACTTTAAAGATATACCGCTTGAAAATCGGATGCCGGAATGAAAAGTTATGGAATTAGAGGTGCAGGGTTTTGATTATTTTTCTGCAAACACGGTTTTTTTGGAAATTTAGAAAGGGGTAACATCATTAAAAATTGCAGAAAATCGACCAGAAATTACAAACCAAGTTTTAAACGCAGTTTTTTAGAGAACTAAGCATCGAGACATTAAAGATACACCACTTCGAAATCGGATGCCTAAAAGAAAAGTTATAGAATTAAAACTGCAGGTTTTTTGTCACTTATCTGCAAAGCTATTTTATCGGAAATGAATGGATTTATATCTGTAAAAAAAACAACTCACAATATTAAAACAAACTTTAAACGCAGATTTTTAGAGGCTCAACCCACAAGACTTTAAAGATATACAGCTTGAAAATCGGATGCCGGAATGAAAAGTTATGGAATTAGAGGTGCAGGGTTTAGGTAATTTTTCTGTAATCACGATTTTTTTGGAAATTTAGAAAGGGGTAACATCA